CCCCCCCCCCCTAACACCCAACCCCAGATGTCCATCCGCACACAAATCCTCAGCATCCTCTCCAACCAATCCAACTCACCCAACCAACCCATCACAATCACCAACCCCACCCAAATAAAACACCATCTAAACCACTGTTTCGATGCACTCCGCCAAGCTATCATCTGTCGCGCAGATCCGACGCCGCTGTATGTACCCAAGGATACGTTTTTTGCGGGGGATGGGCAGGAGAGGGAGTGTAGGAGTTGGGGGGCTTTGCAGGAGTGGGTGGTGGGGAGGAGTGTTTGTTATAATGGGGTTCAGTGTGAGGAGTAGAGGTTGGGAGAGGGAGGGACTCGGAGGGATGGGATGAGATGGATGGGATAGAATGGGATGAATTGGGGTGGATTTGTGATGTAGATGAGTTCAGACGGGGAGATGAATAAGCAAGTGTAGAAGGATTGGCAAATGCACCCTTTCTTCTTATTGGAGGTAAGAGAACCGGATACTGGCGCCAGATAACATATTCCATCAAAGTAACCCCAGTATCTTCGTGGAAAGAAGACATTCCTAGAGATGAAGCACTACTCAAAAAAAAAAACAAAGGATATAACACAAAAACACACAAGAAACGTTAAAAAGAAAGCAAGATCTTGATATTACTCTATCTAATTATCGAGTATGTGTTCATCAGATCAGAACCTTCGCAGCACTATAGTAATACTCGCCTCTAACCTCCCTCAAACACAATGACTGCCAAGAATCATCTTTCGACATAAGTAAAGTCAAAATGTGAAGTTGTGTTTGTAATTTGATAAGAATATGATACTTCTCGTACCCAAAACAGGGATAAGAGAATCGTGACGGCACACTTATACGAGTATGACCTTCTCTGAGCTATACTCAGTACAGTATTCAGTATTCATATATCGACCTCAAGTATATGAGGACCGAGTAAGATTACTATGCAAGGTAGATATAACAAACAAAACAAATATCACGGAAACAACTTGCGTGACATACCAACATCACCGAATCAAATTCTACTTTTATAATGTATATATATATAATCAACAAAATAGACTCCCCCAACCTCAGTCAGCCCCAATCCAATCTATCGAACATCCCAACTAACCCACCGTAAACAAAGCATTAGCCCTCAAATCCGCACTCGAACTACCAATCTGCACCCGGAAATCTCCCGGCTCCACCACATACTGCATTTTAATATTCCACAACCCGACATCCTCGACCTTCAGCTCAATGTTGACCGATTTCGTTTCTCCCGCCTTAATCGCCACCTTTTCGAAACCCTTGAGTTGGATATTGGGGACCACGACGCTGGCAATCACATCTTGGATGTAGAGTTGCACGACCTCGGTGCCGTCGCGGGTGGAGTTGTTGGTTATGGATATGCTGGCTGTGATGGTATCGTTGGCGCTGACGTGGGTGGATGAGAGGGTGATGGCTGAGTATTCAAATGTTGAGTAGGATTTTCCGTAGCCGAATTCGTATAGGGGTTTGGGGGAATTGAGAACGTATTGGTGGCCGAAGGAGAGGGTTCCGTTGGGGAAAGCTTCACCTGTGTCTTCCGGTCGTCCAGAGTTTAGGTAGTCGTAGTAAATTGGGGTGGTGCCTACGTCGTAAGGGAATCCGACGGAGAGTTTACCGCTGGGGTTGACATCACCGAAGAGGACATCGGCAAGTGCGTTTCCTCCTTGTTCGGATGGGTAGAACTGTTGGACTAATGCAGAAGCGTTTGCCGAGATCCAGGCTTCAGTGATAGGTTTACCTGAGGAGAAGATTACCACGGTAGGTTTTCCAGTATCGATAATGGCTTTGACTAAATGGGGCATGGCACCGACGAGATTCAAGGAAGATACATCAACATGCTCTCCAGTTGTGGCATTGAGTCCTTGCCAAAGCTGGTTCTGGTCTCTTGACCATGTTCCGACGACGACGACAGCTACATCCGCAGCTTGAGCAATAGAAACAGCTTCGTCAAACCCGGATTGATCATTTGACCAGCGCTCACAACCTTGAGCATAAGTTATATCTTGAGAAAGATTAGCTGTGATCTTGAAAAAGGTTAAAGAAAAAGTAATCTTACATCCCGAGCTAGCAGCTTGTATTCCATCTAGTGGGGTTACTCCACGGTACATACTTCCATTGACGACATAATCTCCATACTGATTCCCGTTAGCTAAGTTGTGCCAAAACGTCTCACAAACTAACGTTCATAAAGCCGTGTGCCATAGGGCCAATAACAGCCACATTTGCCGTTTTTGCAAGGGGGAGAACGCCCTTCCCATTTTCTAATAAAACAATGGATTCGGCATCAAGCTCCCGAGCTAGAGCAATATGTTCTGGAGTATGAATCAAAGAAGCAGTCTCACTGGCTGGCGCCGCAAGATAAGGGTTCTCAAAGAGACCCTGAGCGAACTTAGCACGAAGAAGACGCGATACGGCCGTGTCGACAATGTCAATATCCAGGGTTCCCGACTCCACAAGTTGTGGGATTTTCTGGAAATTATAGGAGCCACCACCCATCTCAACGTCATTCCCTGCAGGAAGTGCCTATACTTCGTTTAGTAGCGTTTCCAATCAGATTTGGTTATATATGACTCACAAACATGGTTACCGCTTCTGAATCGATGGGTAGCCCATTTCCTTTTGACCGACACATCTTGAAAGCGTCGCAGAGACGATCTGTACCACCGGCATCACTAGTAACCCAGTATTTGTAGCCCCAATCATCTCTCAGAATTTCTGTGAGAATATGATAACTAGCTATGAGTGCAACGCCATCATATGAATGGTAGGCCGACATAATGGACCATGCATCTGCGTCAATGATCATGCGCTTGTATGGTGGCAGATAGGTAGTTCGAAGCTCTCTCTCCCCGCCATGTTGTGGACCCGTGTTCAACCCTTGTTCCGGAGTTCCAAAGGCTGCGAAATGTTTGACTGTCGAGCTGACATTTCCAGCTTGCAGTCCTATTACAATCAGAATTGTGGTGATACATCGGTGCTTCTCACTAACGTACCTTTCACATAAGCATATCCCATCTCACCTGCCAAATATCCATCCTCACCAAATGATTCTTCAACTCTACCATATCTCAACTCACGGGCTAAGTCTCCTAACGGTCCAAATATTTGATTAACACCAAGAGCAAGCGACTCTTGTGCAATAGCCGCTCCCATATTTCGAACTAAAGCCGGGTTCCAAGAGCAAGCTTGTCCAATTGGCGAATTGAAGATTGTTGCATTTCCGATCAAGAAACCGTGAATACCTTCACTCTGAACCAAAGCTGGTATGCCCAATGTAGTGTTATGTAGAAGATAATCCTGTGCTTGCTTGACTCCATCTGCAATTAGCTGTTGTGCTACTGGATAACCGACGTAGAATTGACCAGCCCGAGTGGCCATATTCCATGCTAAGCCGCTTGCGTTAAACCTGCCATCAGTCATGTTACGCCAATTCGAAATGTCGCCCTGAATCAATTGAGAGGTTTTATCTTGGATCGTCATTCGAGACAGTAAATCTACAACTCTATCATCCACACTTGCATTTGGATCTTTGTAGAGTGGAGTGGAATGGGCATACGCCGCTTTGGCGGTGCAGACAAGCAGAGCCGCCACAGAGGCCGGAAAGACCTTCATCTTGAGTATTGAGAAGAAACAATATCTTCGTGAAGGATGTGCTCAGAAAGGGAAATTTCACACTGGGAATCAAATTCTTTTATTGCTCCCAGACGGCCCAGATCTCGGAGTGGCTCCTTCCTGCATAATTTGCGGCCTTGCGTCTTTAGTTGCATTCATTCATCTCTCTCATTCCTTGGATAAAAAGGGTATTTTGTTAGGATCAATTATGTGGGAAGACATAATGATGAACCATAAATTGAAGCCAACCAGTCTAGATGCGAACCTTGTCAAGGATAGCTGAATCAAGGATAATTGATTTTCCCCGCAAACGTTGCACATCTTGGTACCTACCTGCAGCCTTGGACTCTCGTATTGCAACTCGTGATACGCGGGGATGGGTTATGTAGAAATGATATGTAATTGGAAGCTTACTTGAATGCTGAATCCTAACTCGTGGAAGTTCTCCAAGATACGGTGGATGTACTTCCGGAACAATATTCGTGCGAAAATCAATCTCGATTCTTCTTCCGGCGTGAATATGCAAGGCGGGGCGGATAATAGAGCTACCCCTCACCAAAATCAGCGTATCGGAGCCCATGGCGAAAATTGTATTTAGCCAGAATAACTGAAGCTCCAAAATGTATATTGCAAAGTGGGGGGATTGACAATGACATATTTGACAGCTATGATGCTAGCTAGCTATGTAGGTGAGCTTTCACGTCGAATTAATTGTGAACTTTGATCTTTGCTCAACTTTGAACATTGAACGTTAAGTTTTCATCACGAAGTAACCATTGGGCTCATATTTTATTCCTCATAAATTCCCTAATATGAAATTCAGAAATGGAATGTGGTTACCGGCAGAGGGGAAACGACTAGAATACGCAGAAGAAGTATATGCGGTCACGGAACGTGAGGATGGCAAAGCATTGAGCTTGCTATGTCCAACTAAGAAGATATTTGCTAGATCTGATTCTCTGAATCTGAGCACCTTGACAATTGTAGGCCAGTCAATCCGGCTACGAAAACTATTCAATGTTGACCTTGAATAGGACATAGAAGCTCCTTTCGATGGAGTAATCTCTGTCGAGACTACACACTTTTTAGGCGCTCTCGACCCAGGACCTCATTTCGATATATTTCCAGCAGGAAAGCCAGAGAGTAACCAAGTTGAGATTGCAAAAACCGAAAAGTCCACCACCCTCAAGTCCGGATCATTATCTGCAACAGTAAAGACTGGCCATCATGACTTCGAAATTCGATTCCATGCTACCGATAGTTCGAAAGAGCTCACATCGTTACTCAATCGAAGCGTTGGCTTGGCCTATAGTCCAGCAACCAGTAATCCGATGCAGATCGCAGACATGAGAGATTTTGAACATTATATCTTTACTCAGTCAACACTTTCAGTGGGAGAATCCGTGTACGGTTTAGGAGAGCGATTTGGGGCTTTCAATAAAGTCGGCCAATCAGTCGAACTCTGGAATGCCGATGGAGGCACCTCTAGTGACCAGGCTTACAAGAATGTACCATTTTGGATGAGTTCGCGAGGATATGGTGTATTCATCGACACCCCTGATAAGGTAGATTTGGAGATTGGAAGTGAGAGATGCTGTCGAGTTCAGACAAGTGTGGAAGGTCAGAGGCTTAAATGGTGTGCTTCTCTCACCATATTTTCCCTGTCAGGTAAATGCTGACATATGAAGGTACATCATTTACGGCCCAACACCAAAAGAAGTTTTAACAAAATATTCAATCTTGACTGGAAAGCCAGGAAAAGTACCTAGCTGGAGTTTTGGACTGTGGTTGAGCACTAGTTTCACCACAGATTACGATGAAAAGACTGTAAACTCGTTTCTCGAAGGAATGAATGCACGAGATATTCCAGTCGAAGTGTTCCATTTCGATTGTTTTTGGATGAAAGCGTTTCACTGGTGTGATTTTGAGTTTGATTCTGAGATGTTTCCAGATCCAAAAGCACAAATCTCTCGTCTAAAAGAATCTGGTAAGTTCCCAATCGGTAGAATAGAGCCTTTTCTAACTTCAAGCAGGACTTGTCAAAAAAGTATGTGTTTGGGTGAACCCATATCTCGGTCAAGCATCTCCTGTCTTCAAGTATGCCGCGAGCAAAGGCTACCTACTCAAACGCAAGAATGGTGACATGTTTCAATGGGATCTTTGGCAGACTGGAATGGGCATCATCGACTTTACCAATCCCGAGGCTACGGAGTGGTACATAGGATGCTTAAAGGGGCTATTCGATAAAGGAGTTGACTCGATTAAGACGGATTTTGGGGAGCGAATTCCTTCCAAGGACGTTCAGTGGTTCGATTCGTCTCTCGACCCAAGGAAGATGCATAACTACTATGCGTTCTTATACAACAAGATTGTTTACAAGGCATTGCAAGATCGATATGGAAAAGACGAAGCCGTTCTCTTCGCACGTACTGCAACTGCTGGCACTCAGCGTTTCCCATTGCAGTGGGGTGGTGATTGCGAATCGACTCCGGAAGCTATGGCTGAGTCCATTCGAGGAGGTTTGTCTTTAGGGCTATCTGGTTTTGCATTCTGGTCAGTTGATATCGGAGGCTTCGAGGGTTATCCCCCTCCTTGGATCTACAAACGCTGGGTTGCGTTTGGTCTTCTTTGTTCTCACAGCAGACTTCATGGCAGCAATTCGTTCCGTGTGCCGTGGACAGTAGATGACGACGACAAATCGGATCAAGGTTGCTCAAAAATTCTTTCAAAGTGGACAGCATTGAAATCAAGGCTCATGCCATACATCTTCTCACAAGCTCAAGAAGCTGTCGAGTTGGGCATACCCCTGTCACTTCGAGCTATGTGCCTGGAATTCCCAGATGATCCCACTTCATGGTTCCTTGATCGACAATTCATGTTTGGCGATAGTCTACTCGTAGCCCCAGTATTCGAAGAGCCCGGAAACGTCGAATTTTACCTGCCAAAAGGTAAATGGACAAACTTCTTCACCAACGAAGTGAAGAGTGGGCCTGGTTGGTTCAAGGAGAATCATGCGTTCGATACCCTACCCCTATACGTTCGCGAGAATACAGTTCTTGTCCTCGGAAAGTCAGACCAGACCAAGACCGTATACGATTATTCCCAGGACGTCGAAGTTCGTCTATACAACACTAGCAATGGGGCAAGAGCCAGGTTAGTGAGTTCGGAGGGAATTGATATTGGCATTCTTGAAGTTGATGAAGAAGGGAAATTGAAGGATCAGCAGTTTTTGACAGGGTCATGGGAGGTCACGAACGCCTAACAGTGTCTCATAAAACGCACATTATTGCGATTTCCCGTAATGGACAGAGTAACTTCTCTCCAATGAGTGCCAACTGATTTGTTCCCATGTCCATTAAACGTATGTAAATCCACGCGTAGAGGCCCACCAAACTGTCAAGCATTACCGTGTGAAAGACGATATATCAGTCCGGCAATAAACCGGAGGCATTCCCGATTGACGGTCCTTCATGCTGGAGAATATCGTTTCCGCTGCAGGATCAAAGTCCGCCTGTACTTCGAACATCTAAGTCCTGTTAGGAAAGTATTTGCGAGATGCTTCGTAAGTGATAAACACATTGGGGAGGTATTGATGAAGAAAAGGTATGTTGCAGTAAAAGTGTTGTTGAAGGTTTTGCCAAGATGAAAGCACGTGATATTCTTGATTCCAGCTGGGCCACGCTCTCCGCCAAGTGAGCAAGCTGGCTGATATCAATAACTCTCATTTCTCATTTCATTATCATGTATAACTCCAAAAACAATATATTAGCTGATGGAGAGCTATGTTTGATAATGGAGAAATTATTACACACACACCTACATATAATAAATATTCCATTTACATTTCCCGGGGTTTGTTATTCCGACACCCCCTTCCTAACTAGGTAGCTTCGGGTCAATGCAATTAGATATCAGATCTTCTCGTGAATCTTCCCGTTTTCACTTCTTCTTTAACAACGCAGCAACAAAACACCATCCAAACGTTCTTGTACAACCACACCAAAACACAAGTACAAACATAGATACGGTATAGATTGATGATGACCTTGTAACAATCGCAAATGATGAATGCCACTAACTTTTCCCTTGCCTACTTTTATGCCTCTCCGTTTGTCCCTTTCAGCCAAGTTGACCCCTTCATGATCATCATTTGTCTCTACTGTCATATATTCCTTTTGTTTTTCCATCAATCCCATTTTAAGTATATGTTCAAGACCGAGTGGTAACCATACTGCGGACATTGGTATTTACTTTGAGGCCAGACTTTATCAAGAACAGTTCATCCATCTACTAGGACATACTATATCAACTGCCTAGGTAGATGATAGATTACCTGATTAATGCTGTGACACCTTTCTCTTTGCTATTGGAACGTGGTGGCTTCAATAACGATGCAAAGGAATTTTCCTGTGTAAGATAAAGTGGTCAGATGCATATGGACGAATTGGGTAGCCTTCTCTCAAGGATATCATTGGATTCACAGGCGTGGCTTCTTCAACCAATACAGGGCTAATCCAACAGTTTTTTTTTTTCAGAATTACCTACAGCTCCTTCCCGGATTTGAACTTACCATAGTCTTTATTCCGAGAAAAATACCCTGCATCGGTGCAAAGTAACATAACACAGAAAAGGAACATTCGATTGCATAACTCTAGAGTTACACCTATTTGATTTTTATTCACTCACTTGCCACAGCATCGCATGCTAGGTCGCAGTTTGAATTTAAATACTATCGAGTGTCCAACCTACAACTATTCTTCCGATTACTTGCTTTTGTGTTTGCGAAAGTCTTTTTAAACCTTTCTTTTCCTTCCTCTCTCTTCAATTTCGTACATAATACTTTCTGAGCATCATGGAGTCCGAAGGACACGCTAGAGCTGGTAGCACCAGTGATGAGGAAAAAGTTGTTGCTTCCTCAGCCATTGCCTCTAACCTTCCCGTGGACCCCGATGCCCACTTATCAGACGCAGAGCGCAAGTCTATCGACAGAAAACTTGTCTGGAAGCTGGACTTGTATCTGATTCCATGGGTGTGTTCACAATAAAGTTTTTCTTCTTCATGCAAATGTTAATCTCGCAATAGCTTTGTATCCTTTATCTCCTTGCGTTTTTGGATAGAACAAATATTGGAAACGCGAAGATCGATGGCTTGCAGAAGGATTTGAACAATATGTCAACTGGGCGATACAACGCAGCTCTTTCCATGTTTTTCATATCCTACTCGATCTTCGAACCATTGACCAACGTTCTCTTGAAACGCCTCAAGCCATCCATCTTCATTCCAATTATTATGTATGTCAACCCCTCTTCCTTGACAGGTTTCTTTTCTAACTATATTCCAGGTCTATTTGGGGTGTTTGCATGTTATCAATGGGATTCGTTAAAAACTGGTCTGGCTTGATGACTGCTCGTTGGTTTTTGGGCATGGCTGAAGCTGGTCTATACCCTGGTGTAAACTACTTTCTCTCATGCTGGTACAAGCGTGATGAATTTGGTGTCCGTGCAGTAAGGTAACTTACTATTCCTCCTCGAGTCTTGCCTGCTAATTCAACAGGCCATCTTCTTCTCAGCTGCCGCGTTTTCTGGTTCTTTTGGGGGCCTTCTTGCTGCAGCAATAGCCAACTTGGATGGTCTGGGAGGACGACCTGGCTGGGCTTGGATCTTCATCATCGAGGGAATCATCACAGTGGGATTCGGTCTACTCTCATTCCTCTTCGTCCATGATTTTCCCGACACTGCGACCTTCCTTTCGGAGAAGGATCGGGCTAGAGTTATTCGCAGACTTAAGATGGATAAGCAATCTAGTGCTGAACATGAGGAGTTCAAACTGGAATACTTTTGGGCTGCCATCAAAGATTATAAGATGTGGCTGGGCATGTTCATCTACATGGGCGCTGATATGCCTCTATATGCCTTCTCACTGTTTTTGCCAACTATTGTCGCTGAGATGGGTTACAAGGCGTCTCGGGCACAACTACTCTCTGTTCCTCCCTACGCTTGCGCCGCAGTTTTAACAATTGTCATTGGTTTCGCTGCTGATCGTACCAAGCGCCGTGGAATTTACAACATTTGTACTTCACTCCTAGGTGTTGTTGGATTCGCCATGCTACTTGGATCGCAAAGCGCCCACATCAAGTACGCAGGTACATTTTTGGGTGCTCTTGGTATCTATCCATGTATTGCCAATACTATTTCATGGGTTAGCAATAATGCTGAGGGTGTCTACAAGCGCGGTATTGTTCTTGGATTCGTCATTGGATGGGGAAATCTCAATGGTATCGTTAGCAGCAACATCTACTATAAGGCACCAAAATTCACTGTCGGCCATGCGACTGTCATGGCTTATATGATTATCTGCTTATTTGGTGGAAGCGTCGCATTGCACTTGTTGTTACGCAGAGAAAATGCCGCTAGATTGGCCGGAAAGAGGGACCATTGGGTTGCAGGAATGTCAGAGAGGGAAGCCGAGAAGTTGGGTGACAAGCGTCCCGACTTCTTGTACACTATCTAAAAGTCAATATCACGATACGGATTGTGGGGGAAGGATATTACAAGGCCATTTATGTTATTACATTCCGTGTACTTTTTTACTACTTTCGTTGCCCTGAGGAGAGCAACCACCTTTAGATCTAACCTCATGATACACCGTTAATGCTACACACGGTTATGCAAGTCATCGCCAAGGTTCAAAGGAAAATAAGAGTTGTGGTTCACCAGTCTCTTGTGCAAGAGTAATCAATCCGTCCAGCAAGCCTCAAATGTACCGTCATTCCTCACTTTTGCTCAGCCGTTCAAACATAGGTAACATCAAGGAACGTCCTAATTAGCCTAATAATGTACAATCAAACAATATTTAAGAAGCTTCTTCCAGCCGAGTACTTTGTGCAACCATCACACCGCATCTGACCTGTAACACAACACCCATGTTAGCTGCATTGGCTCGATTCCTACTTGTCAGAAATATAACTCGCGTTAGTAACTTCTGTCCATCACTCACTATAAAAGGCAACAATGCCACCGAAGTTGGTGGCGCCATTCCTTTTTGTGTTACCCCAGATATTCCGCATCCCCGCGAAATCTGGGTATCATATTCAGACCCAGGTCAGGGGTGATTGCCATTTTACTATATTTCAAGTACATAAGCATTAAGCAACATTTGGCAATAGTGGTACAGGTCCAACTAGATTGTTTCGGTGTCCTCGATTTATTCTCGAACGAATCATAGGGCAAGGCAAGGTGATTCCATACCAATGTGTGCTTTCCACCTCCATGGCCATAAGTTAATGGCTCAATACCTCCGTAACGGTAACAGGCGATTGATTCCTCCGGAATTTGGGAGATTAGATTATGTTAGAGAGGGGTGGGATATTGTGTTACCCCATGTGTCATGGTACATGGTTGGAGTGACCTTGCTCCAGCCCCATTCGCTGGCCACGTAGGATTACTTACTGCTTCCTTTCACCACTACATGCGTTGAAAGTACTGTACATTCAATTCAGGCTTTAGTATTTGCTCGAAAGCATATTTTGTGGCGTTGTATTAGCATCAGACACGGGATAATGGAAAGAGAGAAAAAGGCAGACAGACAGGAGTGCAGATGTATACTCGTTATATTGCTGATCTGATTATCTTTCATTTATTATTTTCAACTCTCTCAACTATTTCTTTAATAGGTCGGTAGCTCCGCTGCAATAACCATGTATTGCTAAACGCTATGAAAGATACCTTCGTCTTTTTTCGTTTCCTTTCCTGTATGTGTTCCAATCCTCTAGGTACCATTTGAATATGCTTCCACGATGCTTCCATTCCTCCTTCGTCTGCTCAACCCTTTTACGTGACGCCATCTTATATTTTGGTATCCTTCTTGTGGTTTTCTTACTGACTGCCATAGATAGATGAGGAGATCTCCATATTTTCCTTCTCCAAGCTTTTTTCTTTTCCTCCCCGCCCACAACATCTCTAGGTTCCCCACATCCGCTAGCTAGTTTTCATCATGGGCCAACTTTCTGATAGGGAGGTTGAAATCTTAATCATCATTGAACGTACCACAGCATCGATTTCAGTGTTGGCAACACTTGCTTTGTTTGCTACATTCATCTTCATCAAATCTTTCAGAACATTATCAAATACAATCATCTTTTACGCATCCTTTGCAAATATTTTTGCGAATGTTGCTGCACTTATTGGAGGTTCTGCATTATCGAAAGTCAACTCACCACTATGTCAATTCCAAGGTTTCTTGTTGGAGATGTATGAAATTTATTCTTCTCCTTCTGGTCCTACCGTCACTAACGAAAGAAAAGGTTCATGCAGAGCGATCCATGGTGGAGTTTGGCTATGGCTACGAATGTATACCTCGTCTTCTTCTACCGATTTGATGCTGTTCAACTGAAGAAACTTTATCCTTATTATGCCTTGATATGCTATGGACTCCCTTTTATCCCCGCTATGGTTTGCCTGTTTGTCGAGACAGATAAGAAAGGAAGGATCTACGGAAACGCAACGGTACGTAGTCACCTTCATTTGAAATTTCAAGCAGAGGACTCATATATATATAGCTTTGGTGCTGGATCGACGGTCCATGGGCAGCCCTTCGTATCTACAGCTACTATGCCCCTATTTGGTTTACCATCCTCGCTGCATTATGTATCTACATCCGCGTAGGGATTGAGATTTTCCGCGCGCGCAACCAGCTCCATGGAATTTCCCACAGAACCGATCCTTCTCTCCACACAGACGCAGCGGTCACATCACCTCTTCCCCTCCAAGGAACCACCACCAACACCTCTGAAACGACAAACCAAGAATATGAAAATCAACATGAGCAACCAATGTTCACCGGTACGCGAACTACCGACATCGAAGTTACGCACGGATCTTGGGAAAATGGAACGGCTCTCAATACCAATTCCACTTCTCGTTATCCTCGCGCTGCCGATGCTAATCCTTTGAACTCACCGACCAAAGATCCGAATAGTAATTACCGTGTTACAATATCCGCACTGCCGCATACTGCTACTTCGAGCGGGAAGAGTGGGAGGAGAGCCAATACAAATAGTTTTGATAAGATTAAATGGGCCTACACACGAGTCGCCATGCTTTTCTGCATTTCCATTCTAATTACTTGGGTTCCCGCCTCCGTAAATCGAGTATATGGTTTGCGATTCCCGGATAAACCATCATTTATCCTGAACATATTATCTGCCATCGTTCTCCCTCTACAAGGATTTGTACGTCCCTATCTTTATTTTATTCCACATGCACAATATGAGGCATGAATATTCAAACTAAATAAGAATATAGTGGAATACAGTCATATACTTCACCACCTCCCTCAGCATCTGCCGCACCGTGTGGGCTGATCTCCGCGGCCCGTCTAAACAACATAAGAAAAGCGATGGTTTTCGCATGATGGATCATCCGAAGACGGGGATCCGGGCGGGAGAATCGAAGGAGTCGGAAAGTATAGTGGAATTGAGTACGAGTCGCTCACATACGAGTCGGAGTGTTAGTGCCGAGGTTGATAGTATTTGATGAGATATCGATATACCCAAAGGAGGCAAGATTTATTTATTATAGTGCTGTGTACATTTATGTGTAAATTTTTATTGCGGGGGCGATATGGATGGGAAAATTTCATTTAGGAAAGGAAGGAAGGAAGGAAGGAAGGAAGGAAAATTTATGGAGTTGGATCAACTTGGATACAGTATTATTCCATCTGTTTCGTTTCTTGTTTTTTGAGAGGACAGGTCTACTCTTGAACTGGACTGGATTGGATTGGATTGGATTGGGCTGGGCGAGAGGTAACGATGATACGCATATAAAATCGGACTCGGAAAGGAAAAGGAAAACTTTTATATATCTATCTAATCATCTATACATCTATACATATTATATCATATACTAATCGAAGCTAAGATCAAAATACAAACCTCAGAACCTCAAAACAAGCACCGCTACCAAATTTGGCGTCAAGCCTTGAGATAATATATAGTACCGGCTCGATCGTTATATGTTTGTAGATAGAGATCAGAGTGGCCAATCAGTCGGCTAGCTGACAACAATGGCTGTCAGCTATATATAATATATAAGCCATTAAACTAGAGATTCAAAAAATCTCATTAGTTATTTAGTAAAAGAATAATCCAGTTAATAGTTAGCTTATTAAGTGAAATAAATGAAATTTTAGTGATTTCGGAATAGATTTGAGATCTTTTTGAAGATCTTTTGAAGAATAAAAAGTAATATTGAAAAATATAAATGTTATCGAAAAGGGAAGATATTGAAGGGAGAGGTAGTATCGAAGAGAAAGGGTATCAAAGGGAGAAGTTCAAGTTATCGAAGGGGGAATTCAATATTTTACTATTATATAAGAATCATATATTAGTTGATTAGTAACTAATCAGTGATATTAGTCAGTCAACGGAGACTACGATATATTGTTAGCTATTTAGCTGGGAATTGGAGGCTCGATGATTGCTGACTGACTAACTAATTGGCTACTCTAATAGAGATTTGAGAAAGGGTTTCTATATATTATATAGCATTTTATTACGTATTTATTGTTTTATACTATATTATAGATCCTTTGTCTAAAAATGAGATATATATATATAGGAATTAGAAACTAAGAACTACTTACTAAGTCACGATCTAAGTCTTTAATACTAATACGCTATTTTGTTTAAATAATAGTATTACGATTAGAAATAAGATATTTATACGAGTATATACTATTTATTATAGTTCTTATAGGATCTTTATAGTTTATCTATATGTTAATATCACCTCGAGGGTGAAATGACTATATTATATAATCAAAAGTATTGTATTAAAAGTTGATTGAGGCTATTCCCACTTCAAGAGCGGGGAGGCCTATGTGGCCATCGATATCACG